GGCGCTGTGCGGTGCGCTGGGGCGCTGTGCGGTGCGCTGGGGCGCTGTGCAGTGCTGGCAGCATGCACAAGGGCCCGGCAGACAGGTAGGGTTTCACATAGGACCAACCGTTTTCAAAATTTACTCGTCCGATTTAAATAAAATTTTAACACATTAAAATAGACACAGAATAGCACATATTTACAAGGTTTTCAGATCTAACACTTCAGTTTAACACAATCAAACAATTTTTACAAAAAGACGATTGAAATCTGAATTTTCAAGTTCACCGTGCAATCCTTTGAATTTTTCAACGAAATTTGGACACAACAAACATTTCAGCAAATCAATGACTCCCACCAAAATTCACAGAAAAATACCAAGTATTTGATTTTTAATGATTTTTCAAAGATTCTGGTCATATCTTAAAATCGACAATTAACATAGCTACGGATCTTAGATTAACTTGAAATTTGTACACGACTTTTAACATCATCAGAGGGTTATACAGTTAAAATTTCAGAGCAATCGGACGGGTATAAAATTTTAAATGATTTTTCGAAGATTCAACAGTACCATACGATTCAAAAATGCACAACAATTAATTTAACCAATAATTTCGTCTAAGACCTTCATCATAAGGCCAAAGACTTCAAGTGTTCCTTAGATCCACAGCAAATAACACGATTTATCAAGAGATCTCATTCGAAAGACATGAACCACATAAATACGAATAAAATTGATCATATAACAAGTTATAACATGAGATCTCCTAACAAGGCTTTAATATTAAGCATATAACTACTAAAATAAAGGGAGACATCAGCCTTGTACCGTTCTCGGGATAAAACACACGAGAGAAGGGTAGGAGGGCCGAGGGGAGTCACGGTCGTGCGGGATCGGGCCTGCGGGTGCGCTTGACGCCTCGTGCGTGGCTGCCGGGCGTCTCGCGAGCTCTTGCTGGGCGCCGGGAGCGACGGGGGCACGCGAATGGGGGCCTGGGAACTCGCCAACCACCTGGACGTGTAATCGGCTGGCCTGGTCGTCGGCGATGGCGGAGGCTCGGGGCTGGGCGCGCGCGCGATAAAAAAAATAACGAGAGAGGGAGAGGGTGAGAAAGAGATCGGAAGAGAGGAGAAGAGATGAGAGGCGGCTGAACATATGAGGAAGAGAGGGAGAGAATCACCTCCTTATATAAGGCTAGGTTTTGTGACTTGCCTACCAAGTCACTTACCATAACAAGCCACAACACAAAAAGGAAAGAGGAGAAGAGAACGGGCGGATGGGGCGCGGCTGACTCACGGCTCGCGTGGCTCGGGGCGCGCGGCCTCGGGCTCGAACAGCTCGGTTCGGACGAAAAATAATATTACAATAATATAAATTAAAATATTTAAAATAGTATTTAATAATTAAAATAAAATACCACAATTAATATTTATATATGATAAATACAATTAGGCATATAAAATCATTTTAGCATTTAGACAATCAATTACTAATAGCAATATTAGCCACAAATAATGACAATAATAATAATAATAATAATAATAATAATAATAATAACAATAATCCAAAATTATTCATAAACGAACGGGGCGTCACAAGATGTAATTTACATAAGGCCCTGACACACCTAGCAAGGTGTGCCAAGGCACACCTAAGTATTTGCCAGGACCGACTAGCTCTTATTACCGTACAAACATACAAAAAACCAAAACAACAAAGCTAGCAATAAACCAAAGGCAAATGCCACAATTTGAGACCTCTGTAATATTAGCTAGAAATGCAATATGATAGAAGAAACCAAATTCAAAACAAAGAAAAATAGAAGACCAATGAACCAAAGGACTTAGTCTATTACTGTTCTTGCATAGCTAGTCCCCGGTCGATCAAGCAAAGTTATGAATTCCTTCCGTTCTAGAAAACAAAAGGACCAAGTTTGCCGTAGTTAAAGGCAAGAAAACCAGTTTTATGTGACCTGGTGAAAATTATAAAACCAAACCCCATTACTCCTTACTCAAGCGACCACATCATAGATGTTCTTCATGAATGTGAGTTTCCCCGATTTTGGGACTTCAAGGTTCCCAAGGTCGGTGAACCCTTCGACCAGTCCCCTCTAGGGCTACTATCCCTTTCTCTTTGACTAGATCCAGTTTAGGATGAAATTTCCTCTTAGCGACGACAGAGCTCAACCGTCTCTCCTTAAATCACTTTACTCCGAACTCGATTCATATTATGGTCAGGTTTCACCATCCTCTGTCGGTGTTAACTTAACAAGTTAGACACCGATTTCTTTTTTACTGATATTGGTTCAACCCCCAAAAGGCTCTTACTAACTCTCTGGTTGTAATAACCTGAACTTTCTTCAGATCTTTTCTTCTAATATATTAGCTTAGAGAACAAAATACTTCTACATCCCGAACAACTTTGACTTCTCACCTGAGTGGCTTCACGAAGGCTCCCTAGCCAGCTCAAGGACCCCAAACCGTTTGCCTGCCATAACCAACTTATCCTTAAGGGGAATACACAAGTATTCCACATTGTCAAGCTCACTGACAGCCTTCAGCTCCTCAACACTTTGGGTTGTCATATTACGGAGCCCCTGCAATCGCCGACCTAGGTAGGCACTTCCTTGTTTAATCTTCCTATGCCACCGTTTACACGATGTTTGTCCTATTTTTGTTGCGTTTTTCTTTGTCTCTTTGCTTTCTTTTTCCCCCA